TTTTTTTTTTTTTTTCTCTAGCTTAGCTGGACATCAAACCTAAGAATTGCCCCACCTTCACTGCTTCAGCCAAGGCCCAGGGGCAACAGTCTAGACTCATCAATCAAAACTAAGCTACTAAAATTACTGCTTCTCTCTCCTAGCAACCCCCACGGGTATGAAAAGGAAAAAAAAAATATAAGAAAGAAAAGGAAAAGGAAAAAATAACTTACGTATCTCCAGTAACTGCTGCTTTATGAGAATCACTGCCTTTGCCACCAAGAGCTCCTGTCTCAATAAACTTCTTCGCATTATCCCATGCACCACCAGCTGTGTTAAGAAAGAGAGCCATTAAAATACCAGAAACTGTCGCAAACATCAGCAGAGCAGCTACGACTTTTGCTCCAAGTAGAGGATGTCCAGTATAATGTCCCAAAACACGGAATAGAAAACCTGCAAATGGTTACAAAGAAATTACACAAGTTGAGAGAGCAATATTGTTTTTACAGAAGCATTAAAGGAGCACCATAATGAATGCATAGGTAACCTCAAAATAAAATTAAGTCAACCAAAAAGCAAGATGAGACAATCAGGGCTCAAGAAATCATCTAATCTCCTTGATTTTTTTTTTTTTTTGGGTATAATAATCTCCTACATTCCTGACATGGTTCTAGAAACAACAGTGGCTAATAGAATGTTTGATTCCAGCAAGAATGCTTGCTCAATTGGATTACAGAGGAGTAAAAAGAAATATGCCAATGCTTGATGGTTTTTACATAAAAATTCAGTTTCCATCAGATCAAACAAGCAATACTACCACAAACAAATAAAGGAAATAGGATTTTAATGCACCGCTGCTACCCCTATTACTACTACTGCATACTGACCAGACTGCTAAATCTATATAATGAAACAAACAGAACAAAGAAGAAACACTAGGAAGGGAAAAGGAAAACCTACGAAGAAAAATGCAGGGAAATGGAAGATGGACTAATAAGAGAAATAACAAACCAACCAATAATTGAAAATGTAATTGATAATTAGCAAAGAGCAATTGACCCACCAACTACAATTGGTGATACTATAGCCAAAGCACCAGGTTTTATCATCTCCCTCAAAGATGCAGATGCCACAATAGCAACACAGCGACCATAGTCTGGTTTCTCCTTGTAGTCCTGTGGCCAGTATGTCAGGAAAAATGAAAATAGCACAACCAACAATTTATCTGGATTCATATAAGACAAAAAGATAGAAATGATAGAAGAGAAGCGAAATGATTTAAAGTGAAATTCAATTACTCTATATATTTGTTTGTGTTGGAGCTTAATGATAAGAAATATGATAATGGAAATTGTATCTCACTCAATATCTTTCTCCTTTAGAAAAGACTTGACAAGGACAAAAATTTCAAAAGTGGATTATGGAAGAAGGAGATCGAGTGCATCTTTTCTCTCTTCCTTTCACTTCTCTCATGATTACTTTATCCAGACAAGAAATATTTTACAATTTCTCTCCACTGTTCTTACTTCAAATACCATATTTACAGGTTAAAGCACACCATTAAAGGCAGTCAGAAACTTAAACCCACCATGATACCAGGCCTCTCAATAAATTGTCTTCTTACTTCCTTAACAACCTCCTGAGCAGTTCGGCCAACTGCAGCACAGGCCCATGCACTAAATAAGAATATGAGCATGGAGCCCAACAATCCACCAATGAAAACCTCAGGAATGGCAATATCAACCTGAAAGTTGATTAAAATTATGAATGTCAGAAAAAGAATGAAAGTTTGCAGAATAACTAACCTTAGGCTACATTGGTTGCCACTTTTGCTACAAGTTTTTCACATTCTTTTGCCTTTCTCAGAAATACCAATTCAAACATAACTATTGCGCCTATAAGTAAAAGCATGCATTTTGGCATCCATGAAAGTCAAATTTTTAATGCTTAATTTTACAAAATACATTTTAATAATTTATTCAAACATTGCTTCCCCCTTTTTGCTTTCAGAAGTTAAACACAAGTGGCAGAAGTGGTAACCAAACAAAGCCCTCAATAAAGCATTAAGTACAGTAACACACACCTGTTTAAAAGATTCATGAGCAAAAGATGCAACCTCATCCATATATGCACTAAACAGAAGAAAAGAAGCAAGTGCTGCAGATCCAATGGCAAAACCTTTGGTGGTAGCCTTTGTGGTGTTCCCAACAGCATCAAGAACATCAGTGATCTCTCGCACGCTCTCTGGCTGTACAAGACAACAATACCTAACTTAAATAATCCAAAAAGAAGTAAAAAATAAAGTGCATTATGCAGATTGATAACAGGGAAATTAAGAGAATCAACTATATAGTACCTGCTGACTCATCTCTACGATGCCACCAGCATTATCAGCTATTGGGCCAAACATATCCATGGTCAGAATATAGGCAGCAGTGCTGAGCATTCCCATTGTTGCTACAGCTGTGCCAAACAACCCACCAGTTGGACTTCCTGCTTCATCCACCAGTCCCGAGGTGTGACCCAGCCAAAAAGCAGAAATAATAGATATGCTTATCACAAGAACAGGAAGAGCTGTTGATTCCAGGCCCAAACTGACTCCAGCAATAATGTTAGTACCATGTCCTGTTGAGCTAGAAAGAGCTAACGTGCGCACAGGCTCATGCTTGTAGTCAGTGTAATATTTGGTTATCCAGACAAAAACATATGCCGTGATGATACCAACCAACCCACACAATGCAAAGTTCAACCACGCAGAAGGTGCTTGATCAGTATAAAGCAGCCACCGTGTAGACTGCAATAATTTCAAAAAGAACTAGTCATAATGAAGTTTCAACCAAATCCAAAGGAGAAAAAATTTCTAGATTCCAATACTTGATCAGAGAAAAAAGAACAGCGAAAACAGAAAAATTAGAGTGTTATGTTGCAGTTATGGATGATATATTACCCCAGCAAATGTCAGAACAGCCAAAACTATTGTAACAGAGTATCCTTTCTGAAGAATTGTCATCGGATCCTCTATAGGAGTTTTCACACTGGAGTCACGTGTACCCCGAATCGAAAGTATTCCAACTGATGACACCACCAGGTCAAATGAGTGCACAACAAGGGGAAACAGGATAAAGCCAGATGGATCTGCATAAATATCAAAGATGAGGCCATACTGAAAAAAAAGAGAACCAATTCAAGATAAAGAATATGCCACAGCCAAGCCAAAGCCAAACCAAATATAATCTCAAACAAAGAACTAAACTTTTAACTGAATAAGAAATGTTTGCAATGCTGTCTCTAGTTTAAATTGCCGCAGGAATGAAACCCTTATATAACTAGCACCATAGCAATGCATACTTCTGCATACCTGCTTTGTGATAAGGTTGGTTTGAAAACTGCAGCTGTCAAGAAACTGTTAGCAACAAAGACAGGAGATGCCTGATTGCTTCTAGTTAAAGGCATATTTTAATTTATTTCTCTTATCCGTTAAGTAACAGCCAAATAACACTGGCTATGCACTTTTACAGCCCTAACCTCACATCACCACACTAACAAAACAAAAAGATAGGATGCAACAAAATCTCTTTATCTCACCAAAGGGCAGATTCCAATTTCCTTGTACTGGTCTGATGAGGCCTAAACATTCATCTTGGTTACGTTTAAACAGCCAAATTCTACCGTTTGCAGTTGTCATAGTTAAAAAATAGGAAATTTCACAAAATGTTACAATGACATCACTAATCAGTGGGAACTTGCACTTGCCTTCAATTTTACAGCGCTGAGCCATTGTTCCACCAAGTATCATAGCACTAATTATCTCTGCTGCGATGCTTTCGAAAAGATCTGCACCTCGAGCAGCACAATCACCAACATTATCTCCAACCTTCAATGCAAGAAGAAAGTACTCAAGTACCAAATATGATTGGCAAGATAAAGTGTATGAAACTAAAAAACTAAAAGTAAAGATAAAGCAGAAGCATTATTGTAGTAAATTTAACCACATTACTTCCAATATTCTTTTGCAGTACATTTTTTCAGCCCACCTTCTTCATTGAACTTCAATTTACCAATAATTTTTTTTCTGAACACAATCTTCATATGAATTACTTCACTTTCTTTAAAACTAGAGGATTCAAATTCTCAATTTGAAGCATTATAAACTTCAAAACAAGATTAAAATAAAAAACTTTCCACTTTTTCTCTCAAATACATGTTTATTTTGTATCTTAGAAAGGCTTTAATATTCACAAGCAAGGTCCAGTATAAATGTACTCCTCTCTACCTTGCATACAATTGTGCTACTATAATCAAATCTTTAGCAAAATCACAATTACTTTCAAAATACAGCTTCAAAATATTCCATTCAATGCACACCACTAAAGTCAACAACAACCATAAACCTTCAATCCAGTGCATAACTGAACAAAACTTTTTATCATATAAAACAGGAAATTTACATGAAATATTCACAAGCTTTAAACTCATTTTTTCAACTCAAAACTAAACCAATCATATAATATGAGGGAGACAAAAAATTTAACTTTGTACTCCAAATGATTAGCTATTACTTAAGCATTGGCTCAAAGTAAAAAACTCAATGAAATTGAAAATTGAAGTACCAAATCTGCAATTACAGCCGGGTTTCTAGGATCATCTTCAGGTATCCCCTGTTCTACTTTTCCAACAAGATCTGCCCCGACATCAGCTGCTTTTGTATATATTCCACCACCCAACTGAGCAAACAGGGCAACGAATGAAGCTCCAAAACCATATCCCACAAGAAGAAGAGGCACTGAAAGAAAATAAACAAAATCAACCAAGGAATCACCAGCACCAATGATTCTGAAACACATGATAATACTAGCTTGCAGTGAACATAGAGGCAAGCAGCCAATGTTCAAATCTCAACCATGCATGTATACAACCCAAAGTACATACAAGGATGCACACAAACACACAGATCACTTCAGCATTGCAAGCCAAGATGGCACTAGAATTGTCTAAACCAAAATAGTAGTTCACCATTTGAGACAACCTTAGCCAATATAAACCATCTTAAGAAACAAATACAGAAATCCAGAAACAGAAAGCAAAGATCAAAATAAATGTTCGCAACAATACGTCAAGAATCAATAATACCATGTTACCAAAACACAATAATATCATACATAAGACAAATAGGGTTCAAAGCAAACATGTGAGACAGATTTTTCCAAAATATACATATTTAGTATAATTAAATCAAGAGAAAGATTGAATCACTAGGTTCCACAGACGCTCAATCCCGAAATCGACCACAAAAATGCTATTCAAGTCATTAACTTTGGCAAGAATACAGTACTCTTCCGCATCACAGCAATGAATTAGCATTGTTATAACAACCAGAGCATTAACTACTAATAGGAAAAAAAAAAAACTTATTCTAATTCTAAGGAATGTCCTGCCACCATTCATCATAGATTTGTTAGTAAATCATCCAATGTTCATCTTTACTATTCTCTTCAGTCATTAGGAAAATGGTAGAAAGTCAACAACAACTAAAAAGAAGTCCATACAAAAAGTCATCAACTAATACAACTAAAACAACTCTTAGCTGTCTAAACCCAACTCTTTATGAATTATAAGACAATGACTTCTCTTAGATGCCCAAGAGAACTAACCACTATCTACTTTCATCAATATGGAAAAAACAGAGCCAACAGAATCATGCTTATGCACTCTATCAACATTCCACCTCAAGAAGACAAACATTCAAGAAATCTCAAAATGTTTGCAATATACCAATGTACGTAGGAAAAAGTACGAACCATGTACTACGAAGATCCATCAGCACAAAATGCATTGTAACAAATAAATTAAAGGAATGAGGAAATAAGTCACATACAATCTGTAACCTTCATTGAACCAGGTGAATCCACCCCCAACCACACATAAAATGTTGAATAAAGGATGGCTATACCGATCACAGCCATACCAACCACCACCAAGGCAGAGAAACCACCAGCACGGACAGCTACCTGCATGTTATGTTCGCAACTTAATATTCAATCTAAAAGCATTCAGAATAAGATGAAATTAAGAGGATACAACCTGCAATGCCTCTCTTGCAGACCGTCTTGCCGCACTGGAGACTCGGACATTTGCACGAACTGATACCCACATCCCAACATAACCAGCAACACCTGAACATAGAGCTCCCAGAAGAAATGCAGCAACAGTGATATATGCAGATGTTGCCCTGTAGAAGCAAGTAAAAGAATAAACAAATTTATCACTAGGGTCAAGAAGTGGAATGTGGCTTCTTGTAATGCTCATATATATCACCTTCCTAGGCCTGAAGATTCTTGTTGAGGAGTTGTACTACGAAACAAATAAATGCTGAGAATCACTAGCGCTAGCAACAATGCCATCTTGGAGATAGTACCATACTGAGTCCTGAAGAATCCTTCTGCTCCATCACGTATGGCATCTGATATCTAGGAAGCAAAATGATAAGCTCAGTACAAGTGTATGAGGAGGTTGCAAACAAATAATAGTTGCAGTTTGTAGTTGCATCTTAAGGGTTAACAAGAAGATGATAAACAATGAGGGGAGCCTACTCTCCTTTAAACAAAATATGTAATATATGACAAAGCAGTGTGAAAACATGATATTCTTAGCCTTTAAAATGTCTTTCTATTCCAAATTCAGACAGTAAATAAAGCCAAGATATTCTCATTCTATGGATGCTAAGTACAACAACATTGTCAAAAAGTATTTCCATAATTCAGGTTATGCAGGCTATAGTTTAATGTTTCTGATCAAGCCTTATATCAAACTCCAGCATTCATTACATATTATTGATTTAAATAAAACCTGTAACAAATTTAACAGGAATTGACAATAAAAATTTCTAATTAACCAGTTGTAAATTCACTCTTAGGCATAAAATTCATTTAAATTTGGAGAAACATTGAAAATTAATTAATTAATGATGGTATAAATATCAAAAAAAATATAACAAATAACAAAACAAGAAGTTAAATTAAGCATTTGTCACTAAAATCTCCAATAAAATATTTTTATAACTGATTTGAGCAGAAAGCTTTGGTTTTACATATCCATCTTCCCTCTTCACATTCAGTTATTTAACTCCCAAACAGCTATGTTCTGCAAATATAGTGCACTTCAAATGCTAGCTAGATTAAACCACATACCAAGCATAACACATCATATTTATAATTACTGGGCCAGTAAATATAAGCCACATAAATATCATAAATAAATTAATTAAAATCTTAACATAAGTTACTTGCTCCATCCAGCACATCAGTCCTCTAAATTTATTCAAACTTAGATCCATCTTAAAAGCTACTCCACCCAGGAAAACAAAGCCATGCTTTATTTGATATCAACAAACCAAACATTTTGTACATTGGTCAATATCACGATGTCCAAATACACAAGCATGTTGTCCATTTCTTTCTTTCTGAAACCAAACTAAGTATGTTAATAACACAGTACATTCAGTGATATCATACGCTCACTGTCATCATATTTGGTTGAAAATTTGAAGAGTAATTTGAAAAGAGAGAGTCAATAGTAAAATATATGTCTCCATAAAAATACAAATTTAAATACCCACAAGTTGAAGACAGGGACAAAAAGGTGTACATTAATAAAAAAATTAGCAAATTTTTCTAGAGAAGCATTTATTAGAATTATTCCAGGAGCATGAAAGAGAGCTTAATATTATGACAGAAAGTTTTTTTCCAAGAGAAACTTACCTGAGACATCTCTGGAGGCCCTTCATCCTTTGAAAGCACCCACTTTGTAAGATATATTGACAAAAGGAAGCTGATGATGCAAACAGAGAAGACAAAAACAATGATTGGAGAAGTACTTGCTCCAACGTAAAAGACAAATCCCAAGCCCAAAAGGAGAAGTATAACAAGAACACGAACATTTATTCCCATGAGAACTCGAAAAATCTGCATAGAGGAAATAGTCAATTAAAGTAAGCACAATGAGGGGAAAAAGTGCATCCCAGAAGCCAGGAGAGAGAGAGAGAGAGAGAGACTAAGATTATGCATAGACAGACAAAAAAATAGCAATTACAAGATAAAACATGATTCTCCATAAAATCCCAGCTATAGGGCCTGCATCATTGATTATTTTTCTGAATAAAATATTCAGCTACACATTTTTATGAACTTGTTTGTTTAACTCTGCCAATACTAGTCAAACTGCCATTCACATCAATTCAGCAGTCTCTGTGAAGCTCATGCTAAACTTCTTTTCCATTTTCAGATGGTAAGCCCAAAAAGCTTTAAGCATGGATGTTTTCCTATCATGTCAAATTCCAGAACACCACAACCTGGTAATGACACCTTAAATCAAATGCCATAACACCAGAAATAGCAAAAGGTTGACGCACAGACAAGCACAAGATAATGATCAAGGATCTTAGTTGCAATTGAAAGCAAGCAATATGACAATAAGAACCAGGATGTAATTTTACGGAGATCATAACATGTATTTGAAATACCAATTGAGCTTAAAAAGAAACACTAGAATGACTGTTTTCACCAAGGAAGCCTGCAAACAATTGCTGATAGGTATATAGTTTTATAATCAAATCTCTCAGCTCACTGGCAATATATAACGAAAACACACTTAATACATGGCAATATTCAATAATTCCAATGCCACTGCATGTTGGCAATGGCAAAATGATAACTAACATTGGCTAATAAGACACTTGACATCAAAAATTCATGCTAAGCTAATTCCATATTTTCCTAAAATAGTTAAACCAAGTATAGGTCACAACAAATGCAGGATCAAAATGAATTACTACAACAACAAAAAGGGGAAATGAAAAGAAAATAGACATCATAGCCAAAAACTCGAAATGCCTACTCCTCCACATATAACAACTACAAACTGAGACAAACATAAGGTCCTTACCAAGGGGGTATAAGGTTTACTACGCATGTTAGGAAAAGTCCTTGGCCTATCTTGATAAAGCCCCAAATTACCATTCTCAACGTCATCTCCCATCATCATGGCGCTGGCAGAATTCACCCTCCGAGCAACAGGAAAAGAGTTATACTCCCCAGTTTGGGGCAAATCACCCCCTGAACTTGGTCGCTGAATTTTGAGTGATTTAATTTGTCCGATGAAAATCTATAATTTCACCTGAGAAGTTACAGAATAATCAAGTTTTTCAATAACAACTACTCTATTCTACATTTAATAACTTTTATTCTTGCTTTTCCTTCAGAATTCTAGATCCAGTAAAATGTAATCCAGTCCAAGGATTTTTCCACACCAATTGATTTTCCTGCAAAAAGGTCAAAAAAAAATTTCAGTGAAATTTTAATAAAATAAGAAAGCAAAGACAAATATCAACATTTGGAGTTAGGTAAACTCAACACCAAAGACAAACTCCAACATTTTGATGAAGTAAATTCAACATCTCCCTAGTGAATAAGCCACTTTTAGGCAAATAGATAAAAAAAAAAAGTCTTAATTCACAACATTGCCAACAGTCAAATCCTTGCATATGGTGATAGCAATAAATACAAAATTTACAAGAAAATTTCCTTACTGATTTTTATGTTTTTATTCCCATAAAAGTCAAGATGCAAAATACTACCAAAAACATTAGGTTCCTCATGCATGTGGGGGAGGGAGGGTATACCTTCTTCTTCTTATCTTTCTTTCTTTTTTTACTTTTTGGACATGCAAGAGGGGGGGCTGGGGGGTGGGTGGAATTTGGTTTGTACTTTAATACAGTTCATTGTTTTGGAAAGCAATATAAAGGAACAGGTCCCTAGACCTACACAATGTGACACTGCAAGTACTCTACACAGCTCAGAAGAAAATCAAACATTGTAGTTACGCTCACTTTGCTCATACTCAATATTAAGCAGCAAAAGACCCAACTTATGACTATCTATAAATAAAATAAAACATCCAAACCCAGAAATATAGAAAGGAAATAATTACATAGTCTAAAAGATCTGGAAAGAAGAAAGAAAAGACTCACCTGTTCTACCGAAATTATTATTTAATTAGAAAATATTTTCAAAAAAAAAATCAAATTATTACATCAACAAATCACTAAGATATGAATCAAGCTTTTCTTGGTTGGAAGGATGGAAAGCAGGAAGGAAAGAAGAACAAAGTATGAATCCAGTGGTTAAGCTACAAAGTTCGAAGGTGGTAATAAAACCAATCCATTAGATTAAAATTTTTTTAGCCCTTACCCCATTCCTTCATTCCTACAACCAATGCCTCATCCTAAAATATTGTAACATCTTCCTACAAGATTAGAATCACCAAAACGTTATTTCATCTCCAATTAACCCACTGTCTCATTGTCCTTGATTGCATTAACTATAGATCTCCAATAAAAGTGCAAGATGTTGCAGAAAGGCCATTTGAAGCTAACGGTTGGCCAAAAGCAAATTAGAATTTGCATTTTTTCAACCCAACTGTTTGCAAGAATAGAACAATATTTGTTTCATTTTAGCATACCATAAGACTAAAGAACAATAACAACAATAACAATACTAATTCAACTCAGGCTACAATAATTTCAGTTCAGCATTCATGAATCATGATACTTTCCTCTCTTACTTTTTCAGTTTTCTTCCCATTTTCGCACCTCAGTGAATTACAAAGACAGTTACAATTAAAAATATGATAGCAAAAATGGCAATCAATAAAAGCAAAAAGATAAGCCGATTAAACCAACCCCCAGATTTTCAATTTTCTCAGGTCCCAAACAATTCTCATACCCGACATTTCATCACAAAACGACGGAAAACGAAGGAACATCCGGTAACAAAAAAATAAGAACATAAGATCTAAAGCCAAAACCCTAGATTCAGAGTGTCGCATGATTTGATCCTCATTAAAATCAATTAGATCTAAAAAACAACAACAGTTAGAACGAAAATTACACATACCGTTTTCAATGGCCGCCGCGAAACTGAGTAACCGCCATTAACGGGAAAAAGAAAAGCTCTCTCTCTCTCTCTCTCTCTCTCTCTCTCTTCGTCTCTGCGAAATTTTGCAGACTTTTAGAGAGAGAGAAATGGATGGATTTTCACGGGGAGAGAAATTTGAGTATTTTGTTTCAATTTTCTCTTTTTTTTTTATCTTTTATTGGTATTTAGATCTCTTTGTTATCACAATACTTGTTTATAAATCTGTTGTCTCAGTCTGTATTAATGTACTTGCATTCTTTTGCCATGTCAGCGCTGCCAATAGTTTTCTTCCATGTCAGCTGTTTTTGGCACCTTGGCAATGAGGACCTCCTTTCTCTATCTCTTCTTAGACTTTATTAGTTTTATTATTTATATTTTTTTATCTATATATAAAATAGGAATGTTGAAAAATTATTTAATTAAAAAAATTTATTCATCATATTTCTAAATTATTATTATTATAAAATATTTTTATTAAAAATACAAGTATAGAAATGGAATATTATTCAGTGTTTTACATTTAAAAATATGCTAATTTACTTTTATAAATATTTTTATTAAGACATTGACATTTGTGATCACTTACATTGCATGCAAGTATCTTAGGCATTGGACTCAAATCTTATAAATACTCAATTAAAATGTTAAATTGTGACTCAAATCTGCACTCCTGTATCTTAGGCATCACACATTAAATATCCCATTAGAATAATTTAAAATTAATTTGTATATATTATTAATAAAAATTAAATTAATAAATTAAAATTAGTCCATAAAAAATATATTAAAGTTTAAAATCATATTTATAATAATAACTGATAAATTTTGGTAAGTGATACACTAATTATAAAAAATTTATAAATAAAAATATATATGTACAACTAAAATTTAATATTAAAAATAATTATTTATAATTAGACTTATGTATTGGATACTCTAAAACCATTACCTTAATCCTAACCAAACTTATGACGATGAGTAATTTCACCGACTGAATTGATTATAATGAATCATAATCTTTTCTTAATCGGGTCGGTTAATACGGGATATTTAATTATAAAGTTTCCAAGTGACATCCCTAGTCGTGGATTTGTCATTCAGCAAAGACTTAAATAATGTGATTAGGACATACTTGTACTGTAGGTGCAGTTGGGTGCCTAATCGAACCAACAACAATGGGCTCACTGACCCCCATTTTTCTTCTTTTCTCTTCCTTCTTTTGGTTTTATTATATCACGTACAATAGTTTTTTTTATTTCCCTTATTTTATTTTTTATATAAGTGTCCGCTCTCATTTTACTATATTTGATATTTATTGAATAAATAGTTATAATATTTAAATTAATTAATTATATTATGCAGTATATAAGACTTATTAATTAAACGCATTAATCATGTCATATTGTGTAACTTATATAATAAACGTGTCATATTGTGTCAAAGATATTGAAATGATTAATTAATCATGTCATCTACTATATCCATTAAAAGTACAAAACAAATTTTATTGATAATTGTTTTTATAAAAAGGGAACAAAAATGCAAAAGTCTACCTTTTATTTATATTTTTTTATGTTTCTATCCCTAAATTTTAATTTAACAAAAAAAATTATCTTATTCCATTTGTTGTTGTTTCAAGCATTAACCAAGTTCAAGATATTGCTTATGGCAAGACGAATGAATAAAATGGCCTAATAAGATATCACAAAATAAATATTAATTCTTCTATTTCAAATTGAATATTCATTTTATATTTAAACAAAATACTTTAATTTTAGTGTATTTAATATTTTTTAAAATATTTAAAGGGTACAATTTTTAATATCACAAAGTAAAAAAAATATTTACAATATAATATGAAATGGAAGCTAAAGAAAAGAGAGTTATAAGTGTTTAAAAAGGAAAATTAGATATAATTTTGAAATTGATTAAAACAAAATGATAAATATTCAATTTAGAACAAACGAAATATAATATATCTGTTTTTTTTTTAACATACTATGTCTATAATACCATTAATATTGATAAACTTCTGAAAAGAAAAACACAGTCAAATATGAACTAAATTACAAGTTCAAACTAGTGTTTGTCCGTTGACTTTTCCAATGTTAAACCACTAAAAATGTTACACATGTTCACTAGATCAATTCGTTGAAGTTGACTCTGTCCTACCAACCCACGTGATTGCGCCGCGTACGCCGGTTCGAGGGCTCGACTAAAATTTATTTAAATATTATATCTGTATGAGAATATGATCGTGACGCATTAAAATACTATTTTAATAGTTGGAAGTTCAGCACCTCTAACGTGTCAGTTTTAACTACTTCTCCACAGTAAGAAGTCCTGACATCTAATATGCTAAGCGCTCGTTTTGCGTTGTCATGGAATTCTGTATTTGATCGAAAGGTAATATTAAATAGAGGAATAATACCTTAAAAAATATATAGTCTTCAAAATTTTTTGAATAAAATTTTATTTTTTATTATATTTAATTAAATTTTTATATTTTTATTTTATATCAAATAAATTTTTATAATTAATAGTTGACTAATTGTTGTTAATTAAAATACTACTTGTCTTTTTATGTCACGTTAAATACGACATATAATCATGTTATAATGGATGATAATATGACATTATGATATAATTATGTGACATTTTTCACATTCTACGTTAACATTATGTCACCATCATATAGGTATAAAAATGATAAGTAGTATTTTGATTAATGATAATTAATTAACCATTAGTTATAAAGATCTATTTGATTTAAAATAAAAATCTAAAAACTTAATTGAACGTAATAAAAAAAGACTTATTTGAATTTTTTTTAAATAATTCAAAGATTTTTCTAAGTATAATACCTTAAATAAAATAAAAAATTTTGAATAAAAATTTCAATTGCTATAAATTTGTTTTCAATCACAAAAATAAATAATGTGATTACGATTACTTTGAATCCTAATTTTTTAAACCAATAATGATGCTAAACTAAACTTAATATAAACCTTGTTTTGCATGGAAATTTTTTTTCCTGCTATAAGGGGGATTGGATAAGGGGATTATTAATTGTGTGGGAGAAAGTATGTATTTTGAAGTATTATATGCTGATTTAAGTGAGGCTCATCCTTATTCAAGCTCGAAGGAGTTTTCGCAGCCTTTATTTGTATAATAATTGCAAACGCTTATGCACCATATTTGTGTGGTTGACAATGGAAACTTGAGAAGAATGTGAAGCAAAAGTGGTGATTAACAGGTGACTTCAGCATAACCAATTATTCAGAAGAAAGAAAGGGTTGCAATTTAGAGTGGGAGGGAATTGATTTTGGCATAATGTGATTTTAATTTCTAAGGTTGGCTAGATCTTGGACTTGGATACATATGTATATGCAAATTTCGTCTTGTAAATTTAGACTTGAAAATTTGTAGACAAATTAAAGAGATTTGGTGTGACTCTACAATCTCTAGAGTTCCTATAATTAATTTTTTCGTGCTTCATCTTCAAGGGTTTGAACTTGGACTTGATCTTGAACACGATATGAACTTGAGATTTTTTTTTTTTGTAAGGGTATGGGCTTAGACTTGGACTTAATCTTGAACATGATTTGGACTTGAGCTTTGAGTCTTCAAAATTTTCTTCTTCTCAATTTCTACCCAAATGGCTTCGAGTAGTATTGAATTTATAGTGTTAGATAAGAGAGTTTCATGAGGATTTATTTTTTTTAAATTATCTATAAATTATTTAAATTTAATTAGAGATAAATCATGATGACCCACAATTGAATTTTGATTAACTAAACTTTGAGCCTTTGCATTTTGATTGTTTGAATTTAAGTCTTATTTCTAAATTATCTTAATTTATTTAAAGATAAATTAAATGGTAAAATTTTTTATTTTATCTTCATATTATCATAATTTTTAGAGATAAATTAGATGACCAATTATTAACTTTTAATCGACTAAAAATTTAAAATTATCTCTAAATAATCTTGATTTATTTAAAAATATATAAGATGACTAATAATTAAATTTTAATTATTTCAATTTAAATATTATCTTTAAATTATCTTAGGAGATATGTATGTGATACATGAGTGAATTTTAATTTTTCCAACTATGTGTCTTTAAGATAATTCAGCTAATAAATTAATTATTTTATAATTAATTATATGCTATATCAATGATGTCCTTGGTATATATGGTGGCATGTGATTCATCTTTTGAAAAATTTCTTCCATTTATTAATTTTAGACATGTGACATCTTGTAATAGGATAATAAATTTTTTCTCCTTTTACAAATGTCCCCTCAAGACTTGTTCGTATAAGATTTTGCATGAGACAAGTGGACAAGTCTTGAAATTTGAATTATTTTGACGCCAATATTTGCTTACACTCTGTTTGGCAAAATAATTATAATAAAAGAATTCTTTTCCTAAGATCTCTTGAAATCTTAATGTGTCTTGTTGGTTTTGCAATTCAAGTTCAATAGAACATCTCAGAATCTTAGTATACCTTGGTGGATATGCAATTCAAGTTTAATTCGAATTATGCTTATTCAACCAATTGGGAAAAGAATTATAATTTCAGAAGAAGTATCCTGCAACAGAATTATAATCTTGGAGGAGTTTTTGGCAATTGGTAAGGTACTTTTTAATCGACCAAGATTGGGATTTTTACTCCATAAAAATAGAGCTCCCTTGCAAACATCAAGATATTAGAATTGCTACAATCAATAATTTTTTTTTTGGTTGCCATCACTTTTGTTCGTTCATCGGTTTATACTTATAGATTTAAGATCTCCCCAATCATCATCAAGCAAAGGTCCTTGCTTCTTGGTGGTAAAAGCTTCTTAACTTCTTCGAAATCCCTTCTTTTTTCTTGTTTTATTAATGTGGTCAACCGATTGCAATCTTTTGATTCTTTAATTTTACAGGCTTGTCATGCTAAAAATTATATAAGATACCATCATATTGCTAAATCTTTTCAAACTTAAGCACTAAACGATTCGAACTATGATCAATTCCTTTACTCAATAATTTGGAAACTTCTTCTTGCTGGTAGTTAGCCTTTATTAAAACTTATAAATATTAGGGTCGAAACTATTAACTTTTTGATAAAGAAGATCATCACGTTCAACCAATGGCCTTTCTGTTGGCCTTACGAATCCCTTTAATGGAGGCTTAGTAATTTTTTATT